GATACCAAGTCCTGACTGGTAAACCTGGGTGAAGAGCTCAAACCCTGGCTGAGTTGCTTTGATGGACAGCAGGCTGTCCTACCAGAGAAGGTCACAACCAGCTGCAAGCCATACCTGAACACACACCTTCATCTTCTAATAGCCAGGGGCAGAGGGGCTACTTATGTCACATTTTAAAGGCTGAGCAGGAATTTACGAAGTAGCCACATGAGAAAAGGTGATAGAGGCAGACCGGACTTGTGGGGTCCAGAAAAGTTCATTCATTTCCTAATTTGGCAACACAGTAATCACTTTGTTCACTGGCCTCATTGTTTGCATTGTGCTGATTTCTCTTCAGAAGCCTGTGGGCTGGTCCTAGATCCCTGAGCACGTGCACCCCATAACCATATCCTGGTCAGGGAAGAGGATTTCCAGTTCTGCGCCGCACCCGCTCATCAGTATGACAACCCTTTGTTCCCCACCATCTAAGTCCCGTCCCTTCCTCTGACTAGCTTCCTTCCTGTGCCCAAATGGAGTATCTGGCTAGTCCCCTATGCCTTGTGGCTCTCACACTGCAGGGGAAGGCAGGCAGGAAGTGAAAGGGATGGGAGACTCCGGTAGGTAGGAAGCACAGGGGGCTTGTGTTGGTCTGACTTCTCACAGAAGAGGAAGCCAGGGCCCTCTGAACAGGCAAATTAATTGAACTTTAATGCTGAAGAGAAAGTCCCTGGACAGACCTCTAGCTTCCCTGTCCTCGCCACCCCTAGGCTTCAGCACAGAGGGTTCTTCCATCTCAAGCTTGGAAGGTTTTTCTCCAGGCCTGGTCACTGCACTGGCCCAGTGGATGGTTTGTCCTGCCGCCTGCAGAACACACATTGTGGTAGTATTGAGAAGCGGGGCCTTGAGAAGCAACTGAGGAGACCCCTGATCAATCAGGGATAGCTTGGCGACTCCCAGAGTCGACTATTGGAAAACTGGGCCACCCCTTGTCTTCTGTTCCTTCCATCTGTGCTCTGCGCTCGTTTTTTTTTGTTTGTTTGTTTGTTTGTTTTTTGTTTTTTGTTCTCTACTGGGAGTTGACACGGTGTGATACCTTCTCCAATGCCATAGATTAAGACAGAGGTTCTCAACCTGTGGGTTGTGGACCTTGGAAAACACTTATTTCCAATGCTCTTAGGAAATGAGACACTACTCAGTGTAGCAAACTGCAATTATGAAGGAGCAAAAAAATAATTTTATGGTTGGAGGTCACCACATGAGGAACTGTATTAAAGGGTGGCAGATTTAGGAAGGTTGAAGGCCACTTCTCTAAGACTCGGTAGCCTCTAGAAAAGGCTATGAACTTTACCGTGAGACAAGTACACTTGACTTTTAAAAACATGCATGTGTGTACGCATTCATGAATCCATGTGTTCATATATGTGTAGATGTGTATGTGTGTTTGTGCCAGCACGTAGAGGTCAGATGGAAAATTCATTTATTCACAGAAATGCAGTTTACCTCTTGTGAGACCAGGTCTCTCACTGGCCTGGAACTCACCATAAGCCTAGACTGTTGGCAGTGAGCCCCAGGCATCTTCCCTCAGCCTTCACGGCCTGAGCTTACTCTGTCCCTGTTCTCTTCTGTCCTCAGATCGCAGAGCAAGAGTCTGATACCAGAAGCAACCAGGAGCATGGGGAGGGTTCTTGAAAGCCCTCACCCCTGCAAAAATGCTTCCTGGGGGCTAGAGAGATGGTTTGGCCGTTAAGAACACTCGCTATTCTTGCAGAGGGCCCGGGTTTGACTCCAAGCACTTGCTTGGTGGCTCACAACTTCCCCTAACTCCAAGTTCAGGGGGTCCAAGGCCATCTTCTGTTCTCTGAGGGCACCAGGCATGCATGTAGCATACATATATATATATATGTATATATATATATATACATACATACATACATACATAGGTACATACATGCATACATGCATACATATACACACACATACATACGTACATACAAACAGGCAAAACACTCATACACATAAAATAAAAGTAAATCTTAAGAAAAGGAAGAGTGTGCCAGCTCCAGATGTCTAAGGGGGAATTCCAGACTTTACAATGTTGTCCTCTAGGCCAGGGACACCAGTTAGAAGCCACAGTGGATCAAAATTTCTCTCTTAAGGGGTTTCAAAAAGCCTAAGGCCTTCCTTTAATGCCACAGAGCAAAAAATGGGAGTTTCCCTGTCCAGAAATGTTCAAATCACTAGAGGCATTCTGAGAAGTCCTTTAGAGTGTCACTCTCACAAATACCACCCACTCTAGGACCCTGGAACACATCCTTGAGCCATAATGGAAAGCAGATGTTATCATCCAGTATCCTCTGCTGTTGCATAACAGGTCTCCAGGCCTGCTGGGGGCGGGGGCACTTACAGGTCACCAAAGGGTGCCAAGAGAGCATGTAGCAGGATCAGTGGCAGCCCAAACAGCAGAGGCTTGTTAGAACTGAAGCAAACAGCCAGACTCTGTCACAAACCTACTTCCCACCCCACCCTACTCCCAGCCCAGAAGTTCTGCATAGACCGACGTCTAATGATTAGGACAACTGTGGCGGAGGCCAGATACTGGCAGACCTGATTAGAATCCATTGCCTGGAGGATGTACCTTCTGCTCCTTCTAGACAGCAAACAGTGCTTCCCCGGCCAGGGCCCTGAGATTATATCTTACCATCTCAGCTGGGACTAAGGCCTTAGGTAGACGTGTGGGATGTTTTTGCCAAACAAGGAACCCTTCCTAATAAATGGTTTATTTATTTTATGTATATGGGTGCACTATCTGCACATACAACTTTATTCCGGAAGAGGGCATCAGATCCCACTATAGATGGCTGTGAGCCACCATGTGGTTGCTGGCAATGGAAGAGCAGCCATGGCTGAGCCACCTATCCAGCCCCGCCCCCAAGGAGTACTTTTATCCACAAGTCCCCAGTAAACTGTACTCCTCCAGGCCTGGGTCTGTTCACCTTTCCTCGGCTTTCAAGCACCTTGGGGGCAGTTCTCACACATAGGGACCTAGCTTTCCAAAGCAGATAACCGTGTAAGCTTCACCAGAGAAGGACTGTGTGCACTTTGGCCAAAAGAAACTGGTGTTGACAGAGGTCTCAGGCCATTGGTTGGACTGTTGTGAAAAGTCTTTCCCTGGGGAGGGAGATATAAACATCATCTATTACTTCCTCTTAAGGTCCTAATTACAAACCAAAATACCGTGTCAACGCAGTTTACCCTAGGGAACCAATGAATTTATTGGGTTCACTTACAGAGCACTGGTGACCCGAAAGCAGCTGCCCGGCAAAGTCGTCACTCAGCATGGATGATAGCTTCCCCACGGCTGCATAGAGGAGCCCTTCTCCCCTAGTTCTCCCAGTCTGTATACTCTTGCCCCTTCTAGAGACCTCAGGCAATTAGGGCAGAATTGCCTGCAAGCGGCTGGGAGGAGTGGCCAGTGAGGGTTCAGTGATCCTCCCCGTGTCCTCTGATCTCATGAAGACAGCAGTACTTTGGTTTATAGGGCAATGGCTTATAACACAGGGTGAGTCTGGGAAAACAGTTCACCCCGAACCCTTCTTGGCAGGCCTCGCTTCACAACAGTGGGAAGGGTACTGGTCAAGTTCCAGTTCTCATTGCCATGTGACCTTTAGCTCTCACTTGAGCTCTCTGGATCTTTTCCTTGTACCTGTTGAGATGCTGACCTGTCTTGAGCCCTCATGGGGCTTTGTGGGTTTTAGTTTTTATTTTTTTTAAAGATTTATTTATTAGTTATATAGTGCTCTGCCTAAATGTATCCCCTCAGGCCAGAAGAGGACACCAGATCTCATTACAGATGGTTGAGAGCCACCTTGTGGTTGCTGGGAATTGAACTCAGGACCTCTGGTAGAGCAGCCAGTGTTCTTATCCTCTGAGCCATCTCTCCAGCCCGGCTTTGTGGGTTTTAGTTCATCTAAATACGGCCTGAGTGTTTTCTCTCCACCTAATTGTCTGTGTCCACTGACACCCTCTGTGAGCATTGAAGGGTCTAGGTCCATCAACACATAACTGTTGGAGGAATAAGAACTGAGCCCTACTGTTGGGCTACAATTCCTCTCACACATCCAGCTGACAGCCCACCATGTACCACAGGCCAGGACTCCACCCTCTGACAATAGGAAACGGAGGCCGGCTAAAATCAAGGCATCCTTAGAGGTGAGCCAGGCAGGGATGGGAAAGCTAGGAGTCACACCCAAGTCATCACTGCAACATAATGCCACCTACTTCTGCTTCTCAAAACCTTTTCACATTTCTGGCCTGGTCCCTGGAGGAAGGAGGCTAGAGGTCACAGGAATTCAAGACCCAAAGAAAGGAACAGAAATACAAGAGCTTCTTAAAAGTTGTGGGTGTCGGCTACATCTGCTATAACTTCTGGTCCTCCATTTTCACGGAGGACCAGACAGATGCCAGAGCTGAGACCCAGGGAGTCAAGATTTTTGATCTAGCTCAGTGGCTCTCAACCTATGGGTTGCGACCCCTTGGGGTTGAATGACCTTTTCACAGGGATTGCATATCAGATATCCTGCGTATCAGATATGTATATTATGATTCATAACAGTAGCAACATTACAGTTATGAAGTAGCAAAACAATAATGTTATGGTTGGGGGTCACTACAACATGAGGACCTGTATTGTTAAAGGGTAGCAGCATCAGGAAGATGGAGAACCATTGGCCAAGGCTGATGTAGCCAGCACACACACAAAAAAGGACTTGAGCCTGAGGCGTTGGGGTCATGGTTTTACTCCTGCCCCTGTCAGCAGCGCTCATGTGACATCCTTGTCTTGCCACTCCGCCCCAGAGCATTCTGGGAGAGCCGCTTCATTGTGGGGTGTCACAGAAATTCCCTCATATGGAAAACAGAACCATCCTCAGGAGGAGCTGGCCTCCTGAGGATGGACAAGGGGCAGGGCAGGATGTAGACCTTGGAACAGAGCCAGGACCAGCGGCTTTCCAGGACTGACCCTGGCCATGTAATCCCTTCCACCTCTTCCCTTCTCCCGTCTGCCCTGCACCCCTACTTTCTTCTGTCGACTAACTAGATACCCCTTGCACCTATGTCTTATGGCTCCTCAAGACCTGGAAGAGACACAGCTGGAGACCGTGCTTGTGCAGGTCAGATCTCAGGTGATGAACAGTTGTCATCCTGCAGCGCGCTGGAGCCAGGAGTAGTCAGGAGCCTGGATCCAACTCCATAAAGTTTTGCTCAGTGGCTCCTCCTGCCTTCCAAAGAACTGTGCGGGTCCTGCGGCGCCCTGACCCCACCCGCTGTCCGGCAGAAGCCCACCTTTGCCTTCCTTGCTGTCAGACATAGAAGCGCGCCCCAACGTCTTCGGCCGCGATCGCCAAGCTGCGGCGGGTTCCGGGCACCCTCCCCGCGTGCCTTGGGGCTGGCACTGTGAATCCACGTGATTTCTCGGCAGCGGCGGCGGGTTCCATGAACAAGCGACCAGCGAACAGCGCTGGGCTGCCACTTTCAGTTTCGTGCAGAGCAGCGGTGGAGCAGGAGCCCAGTCGGTGAGTTACCTGCCCGGATGGGGGCGCGGATGGAGGTTATGGGTTCGGATTCTGAGCTGAGAGGGAGGAGGGGGTGCCAGAGGCCAAACAGATGGACACACGGACAGATGCTTGGGTGCGTACTGGTGGCTTAGCAAAATGCAGTTGGTCACTCTGCAGTTTGGGGGCTATAGAAAGTGTCAAGTTGGGGAATGACACAGCTTGGGGAATATGCTGTATGTCTGTGCGCCCCTTCTTCTGGTGCCCCCACCCACCCCACCCACTACAGTCATCCTTTCTTGCTTTTTTTTTTTCTTTTCAACTTCCATTGCTTTATTAACAATCACAGAAGTCCCCTTTGTTACACACGATTCCAAATTTTCAGTCTTAAAAAAAATCATTATACAGTAGTAGAAGAAATGGAGTTTGGCTGAGTCATAACAACTTATTGTTTTTATAGAAGACCCCCCTCCTCCCCCCCCCCAGCACTCACCATTCTCCCAACAGGCACCAACCTCAGGTTTCTCGCCATCAGCTTTATTTTGAAACAAGCACCCGATAAAGAATTTCAACAGAAATATTTCAGAGTGTGTGAAAAGACAGGAATCTTTTTTAAAAAATAGAATATTGCATTTAAAAAAACCAACTATTCTTTAATGTCATCACCTCTATTTCTAGTGATCATAAACTCACCAGTCACAAGGGCAGGCCTGGGTAGTCTTTTGTCCTTGACCTCCCTCCCACATTGCCATGTGGCTTTCAAATCACTTTCTCACTCAGAAAAGCCAGAGCTGGGAGTTGGGGAGTGGCCAACAGTACTGGTCTTCAGTACTGTGTGCGTGCATTGTTGGGACTCTTCTGAATGAGGGACGGGGGGGCTTTGTATATAAAAGATATTTTGAAAATTGAGTTCCATGATTGGGAAAAAGGCCAGGGAATGGTAAAAGATGGGTGTAGCCAAGCCATACTGGGAGCTTCCTCTTTCCAAGACACTTTCTCTCTAAGGGACAAGGAAACCTGGAAAACGACCAGGTTCTAGCTCAGTGGTAGGTCAGTCCTTGTGTTGAGTCCTCAGCACCCCCCAAACTAACTCACCTGGCCTGATCTACCACCGGAGAACAGAGCAGGGTGAGTGCTGTTGACTTGAGGCTCGTAAGCCCCAGCTGTGTACTTCCTTCAGAGCAGTCGCCAGAGTTTATGCCTTTCTGCCCTGTCTCCAGAACCAGACCCCACCTTTCCTGGAGTGGGGACTTCCTGGGACTCTCAGCACTGTGCCCTGTGTGTTTACTGGATGACCATGAGCTAACGATTGCCTCTCTCGGAAGCTTGATTTCCCATCTATAATAGAGGCATAATGGGTAGTCCAGACTTTGTCTCATGGATTGAAGTACTTGCCCACAAAAGCGAGGAGTCTTGGGTCCTGATGGGACAAATGCGGAAGCTTAGGGAATGCCACAGTCTGCTTAAGGTCCTGTTGGCCCTGAATGCACGGCCGGCCTGCTCTCAGAAGTTAAGTGTGATCAGGCCTAGTTAGCACTTGGCTGCCAAAGTCTGCTTGAACTTGTCCCCCAACTAGCTAGAGAGCACCAAGACCTGGTCAGCGTCCTTGAACCCTAGCACACCTCCCTCTCTCCTCTTCTGTTATGATGTGTGTAGGGCCCCCTAAGGAAGACATGAAGTCCTGACCTTCACTGCCTCTAAATATGACCTTATTTGGACATGAGGTGGCTGTAGACCGTTAAGATGAGGTTGTAGGGTGGGCCCACTATGACTTCTGCCTGGTAATAGAGATCAGTATGTAGACAGCCACAAGCTGAGGAATCCAAGCAACTGCTTGAACTGGAAGAAGGAGGGCTCCTTCTCTAGGCCTGCAGAGGGGCCTCTACCCACTCCTGGGTGCAGACGTCCAGACTGCAGCCAGCACAGAGCAAAGCACTGCTGTTTACATCAGTGCTTGATGGGACTGGGCTACCACATCATCCCAGCCTCTCTCCTCTACCACATGCAGAGAACCGGGCCAAGGAAGTGAAGACGCTTAAGAAGCTCTAGGGGGGAATGTGTGTCTCAGAGGCCAAGAGTTTGCCTGGCTTGCAGTAGACTCTAGGTTCTATTCTTACCACAGGAGGCAAGCAAAACCCACTTTGTAGGTGCACCTAGAGTGTAAAGCAGTCTGCCTTCACCAGATCTGTTTCTGAGATTGCAATTGATAGCCCAAACCCTGTTTGGCTGGAACTAATTCTGCAGAAGAAACATAATTTAGAAGCAAAACAGAGTAGATCCTATTGGCTGCTGGTGCAACAGGCTCCAAGAGCAGGATCTTTCTGGGCCTTCACAGCTTCAGAGAATCCTGGGTAAAACAGGCCGAAGTAGGAAACAGGTGCCGCTGACCACTGTGGGACTTGTCACCCATAAATAGGTGCGACTGTGCGACTGTGTAACTTACATGTTAGCTCCAGTTTCTAGGTCCCTGGAAGCTGGAGGAGTTGACATGGTCCCATTCTTCTCTTTAGGGGAACCCTGAATCTTACATTCTGTGATCTCAGAGACGGGAGTAGGGGGCTCAGTTTTTCTGGTCACCTGTGACTGCAGACTCTTCTCATTGTCTCGAACCAAGACATGTACATACCCGTTTCTCTGGGATGGAAGGCCAGAGGAAACCTGATTTAACTGGTTCTTCCTGTTGAAGCCTGGACGGAACATCCCAGGTGCTGCTTCCAATAACTCCTCTTAACTCCTCCTAGGGAGCTCTTTTCCACAGGGCCTTTGACCACCTCTGTCTGGCGCCGATGACGGGGTAAAAGGGAATTACACCGAGCTGGCATGCAGAGGCCCTCGAGCACTAGGTTTTTCCATGTGTGCATCCATAGTTTAATGTACTCAGATATTTCTTAAAAACTGAAATCTGACTTATTAAACTAAATAACATGGATGACATGGTGACACACACCCAGTGCTTAGGAGGCTGAGGCAGAAGGCTTACCAGAGGTGGGTCCCAGCCTGACCTATGCAGTGAGACCTTGCCTCCAGCTTTTTAAAAATAAGTAATTTAATTAAGTAACTAATACATTCATCTTGTAAAAAGGTAAAAATGCAGTGAACCAGATACTTTCTCTGAAGACAGTCATTGAGTTTTTGTGTCTTCTTCCAGAATCTAACAGACAAGGGTATATCCAGTGTATTCCCTGCACAGTCAGTTTTATTAAAAAAGACTTTAGATTACACACACACACACACACACACATACAAATATACAGATGTGTACATAGGTGTTTCCACACCCACATATACACACACACACATGTATTTCCTTTCTCACGATGAGAGTGTATTGTATGGAGTGTGCACAAATTTTATCTTTGTTTAATGCAATAAATAATCTTTATTTTCTCCCTCTCTTTTTCTCTCTATGTATTTATTATTTTGGTGCTAGGGATCAAACACAGGGCTTGGGCATGACAAGTGAGTGCTTTTCCACTGGGTCATGTTTCCAGACCTCCTTATGACTGTGTATTCTTTGTGAACAGAGAGGCCTGTTTATGCAAGTATATCCTGTTCTTAGACCATATCTACATTATAAATGCATAAAATAATATGTGCATTATTTTATACATCTATATAAAAAATCCAGGATCCACAAATGAAAGAAAACATTCAATATTTGTCTTCCTGAGTCTGTCTTGTATCCATTTAATCCGGTGATCTCCAGTTGTGTCTATTTTATTGCACTATACATGGATATGCATATATCTATGGGGTGGGTGAGTTTGGAGCACTTCCGGTACACAGGAAGTGGGACAGCTGGGTCATATAGTGATCCTATTTTTAGGTTTGTTTGTTTGCTGAAGTGCCTCTGTATTAAGTTTATGCTGGTTAAACTAATTTGCATTCTCAGTGAATATGTATGTATGCATGTGTGCGCGTGTGTGTGTGTGTATGTATGCATGTATGTATCCTCAACAACACTTGATGCTTTCTGAATGATAGCCATTCTTATTGGGGCGAGATGGGATTCGTTGTTGTTCAGTTTGAACTCTGATGGCTAAGGAATTAAACTTTCTTGACCGTCCATTGGTCTTTTGTTCTTCAGCTTCTAGAATTGTGCTCGTCTCCTTAGCCTATTTATTCATCGAGTTGTTTGGTTTTCTAGCATTTAGGTTTTTGAGTTCTTTATATTGTCTAGCTATTAATCAGATGCCACATGTAGAGATGACAAAGCTTGTCTCCTGTTGTTAGTTTTGGTGTGTTTTTTGTTTGTTTGTTTGTTTGTTTGTTTTACTCAATTGCTTTTACATTTCGAACGGTCCTACTTTTCAGTTCCTGGTATTGATTCTCATGCTATCAGAATTCCTTTCAGAAAGCCTTTGCCTAAAGCTGTATCTTGAGGTGTTTGGTTTGTGTTTTCTCTAGTCATTTCAGAGTTCAGTTTTGCAAGGAAAGAAATAACTATCCGGTTTCATCCTTCTCTATGTGGATATCCAACGCCATTCGTCCATGGGTCTGTTTTTATTCAACATATGTTTATGGTATGTAACTTTAAAAAAAAATCATATTGTGTGGTTTGTTATTTGATCCTCTATTTCATTCACTGATGTGTGTGTGTGTACGTGTGCCTGTGTGTGTTCATGCGTGTACTTGGCGTGTGTATGTGTATGTGTGTGCGTGTGTGTGCCAGTCCCATGCTGTTTTGTTACTGTGACTCCATAGTGTCCACTGAATGTGCTGCCTTTAGCTCATTCATTTTGCTCAGTATTGCTTTGGCTCTTGGGGATCTTTTGTACATCCAAATTTTATAATTTTTTTTAGTTCTATGAAGAAAGTTAGCAGAATTTTGATGAGGATTGCATTTACTGTATAGATTACTCTCAATAATATAGACACATTCCAGTATTAATTCTACCAATCCACGAGCATAGGCAATCTTTCCATAGTCTAGTGTCTTTGATTTCTTTCTTTGGTATTTTAAAACTATCAGTGTAGAAGCCTTCGTTCCAAGAAGCCTTGTCTAGATTTATTCTCGAGTT